TTAAAAATTCTGGGTTTTAAAAAGTGTCAAAAAATGCAATTTTTTTAACACTGTATTCTATGGTACTAGTTCTAAAAATAGCATTTTTTGCAAAATAATAGGACAAGTTTCTCAAAATACGTCACTGTAAAACACGAAAAAATGTTATTTCATGTTGCCATGGGCCAATAGTTCCGTGTTTTTACATAATAAACAAGAAAACATTGTCATGCGATTTATGACCAATTTTCTCAAAAATTATGATTAGGCTTCTACCTTAAACTGTATACGTTATCAGCTCTTAAGTTACAAACGCATTGTAATAAGTTTGTTTCTGTTTCATCCTTTCGCTTTGATATTTGTTCGTTTTGGTATAATGTTTCATCTTTTTTTTTACCCATTCCTTGTAATCGGTTATGTAGTTGCGTATTTACATGATGCTTCGTCATTTTGTTTTATAAAACGCCAGCCTCGTTTTAAACGTTTTTTTTAATGCTTGAATGGCAGTTTTATATATTCCTAGTATCATATTTTGAAAGGTATTACAACAACATGTTATGTTTCATTTAAATCTGGCATTTACTGTCACTTTAAAACTTCACAAATTGCGTGAACAAGTTACAGATGACCTGGAATGACACCAAAAACGTAATCAACGTAACTTCCCGGTGTGAAAAGAAGCTTCAGATGTCGCGCGGAAGGCCGTGGTTCATGTAAGATTTGTTAGTGACTTCTGTTATTGATAATAGTGTTGCAACCTGTTTCAAATGTACAATAATAATCAAGCTACAAAACGCTTTGAATGAGTTCTTGGTGTTCACGTCACGGTAACGACTAAATTAAGTTTACTCACCGCATCTCCTTTAATGTGTCGCCACGCCTATCACATGATGCCGGCAAATCCGTTCTTTTGGTTTCTCGCATGGATGTAGTGTTTCGCACCAAATCTTATTTGAAAAACTTCACTACCCCGCCTTATTTTCAAGAACTCTGCGAATATACACGGCAACATTCGGAAGTTTTATTATTTTTCTCATCTCAGTTGATCGACAATTGTGTTATGGATGTGGCACAAGTAAACTTTCAATTTATTTACACGTTATTAAATCAGTCAATCGAATAACTCGTATTTTCATTTTTTTTTTGAATAAGAATTCATGTGCCCTGACAATGTGAAAACTTGTGTTCTTTGTTGCATCATTTACAATAATAGGTGATTTTCCGTACAATTGCGAGATCTCGCGAGATGCATGAAAGACGCGCGTCGAACGTCTGCCGCAAAAATCGAACGATTTGATTTTGAACTAGAATTTCTTTATTTCGTAGCTTACATTGACCGGCCGATCTTCGACAGAGGAATATTGCTTCCGAATAACCTTACTTAATCGAAATTGCCTATCATCAAATGTGGACAGCACATTATTAAGCATGGAAATGTCCCCCAAAATACTTTCGCGTTTGTCGAATCCCACGCGATGTTTGACGCCACTACGACGCTATGACCTTTGTTTGTCCTGTTGTTACGTTCGATTTCACGCATAACGCGTGATTTTCGCAGTGTACGGAAAATGGTCTATTGAGCTACTAGTATCTCAAACAATTGTTGGTCTAGCAACTTGAATGTGTTACCACACAAGTAACTGCTGTAAAATCATTTATTTTTGCTATTTTATAAAGGATGATTGAGGAAAATAAAATCCAGTGAAAATACTGTTTTCCTATATTTACATTCAACTGATGAACAAACACTGAAAATGAACTTCAAAAATGGCCAAACTGCAAGTGTCGTTTTTGCAACAAATAAAATAATTCCAGAAAACACAGTGTTGTACAGTATTATTAGATCACCTGGTTCTTTTCCCTAGTTCATAAATGCTTCCGTGTACTGAACGAATAATACTCACAGTATAACATACGATTGCGTCAGTGCAGAATGTGGAATTGATCACATGCACACGAGTAGTTACGCGAGATGAGAACACATCTATCCGTGTCCACGTACTGTACTCACCATCATAGGTCGGGCGAGGACGTCGCAATATGTTAAACTGTGAAAATAAATTAAGAATTTTCAGCAATTTAAAACAAATTTGTTATGAGACATGTCCTCAGTAAACATAGTAGTTCAAATCATACAGGTATCTAACATACTACTCCCAAAGCAAATGTAATGTATTCCTGGTGGGAAAATGCAGCAGAAAATAAAACGTACTTTCATATACTTTCTTTACATCTGTCGAATATGACGAATTAGTATAAAAAACCCTGTTTGATAAAACCAATGCTAGTCGGTTTCCAATCACTAAAATGACGCTTATATCTATATAATGAAATAATTCGTGTCTTGGCAAAACTTTGTATCGAGTGTATTATCTAGTGTAAGTATTTTTAGTATCTATTACTCTGCGCATGTCTTTATCAAGTGTTACACTGATTTGTATGATCCATGATCCATGTCTGTAATTATTTTGTTTTTCCACCCCTTTGGATTAGTGACGGTTTCCCCGAGGAATGGAAATAATAAATATAATTTAATAATGCTGTCTCATACTGCATGTTGATGAATACATTGGACACGAAAAAAAAAACGTGTCTTTTGTGACACGCAGTTGAGTATTCCTCCCATGAAACAATGACATTTCGTATTGCGCTGATTGTTTTAATACGTGCAAAAAACATTTCTTGCATATGTGTGCCAGTGTTATTAATTTTTCATCGAACGAATATTATACAGTGAGCTGCAAAACAATATTCATATTTTAGGATAAATTATAATTTAATGTGGTCTTTACAGCAAGCGCAAAAAGGATTCGTACAGTTGGCGAACTCCCTTGGAAAGTAACTATGAATATTGCAATATAGGGAGGGACTTTGTTATTGACGCTATCCAATGATCTAATGTTATAAAAACGATTTTCTAATTTTTGTGAAAATCTCACTTCCCTTGGCGCCACTTGTTTAATTAATTTTGTCTAGGTACGTAATATGGACATGTTAAGATCTGTTTTCATATTACAATATTGTTGTATCTAAACAAAGGCGTACAAATATTATTTGCAGTCGTATTGCCGTCTGGGGGAAGTCGATGCGGTTATACATTGATAAGGACCCCAGGGAAGTTACAAGATACCCGTACGGAAATTCGATTGCGTCCGCTATAAACATGTCATATCAAACAACAATATATTCATCCATATTGCATCTTTAATTGCACAAGGGCAGTAAACCAGTAATTTAAACAGAAAAACAATATGTGTTCTCCAAACAAAATGGCGACCGATTGGCAGCTACATCAATCATTGAAACGTATAGCTACATTTCTGGCTATTAATCAAATAAATAACATGCTCGTAGAATGTGTAAACACAATTCGGTCACAATGCAGACATGCGGGCAACTCTGAGTTGTTAAGCTCACAGTATAGTTTACATAATTATGTTACCATGGAAACCAAATGATTTTTGTTATCTGCGTCGCATATAGCGGCAGCAGTGAATATAACTAAATAACAAGCGTGAACGTAGCTAGCAACTCCTGAACACACAGTGGTGGAAATCTGATGATTTAAAAATTGAATAGTCAATGTTATTAAAATTATTGTAAATTATTCGCGTTCTTATGGCAACTTAAGATTTGTGACCATTTGAATTTGAGGGGGGGGGGAGTGGCTTAGAACTTTTCAAAAAGCCTTGAAGTTTTGAAAAAGTAGATCCTGCACAGTGAGTATGCATATCTTATCTTACAGATTTACAAGTTATGAATTAATGAACTGAATAAAATATCCCGCCGTAATCGACCATGCGCCCCCTCCCTGGGTATAATTAGGCTTTTTTGTTTTAATTATCCCCTTATTGATGCGTTTGTTTTTTTAGTTATTTTTATAATTTTATTTACAGCCATGGTTGGACATAATCGCTGTATTCATGCCTTCTCTGATTAGTTGACTAATCTGTTTAGACCTTTTAGCGTTCGTTGTCAGAAAAGTAAAAAATAGAATTAAGAAGAAAGATTTGAAAATATAAAATAAAATAAT